CCCGGCCTCCCCGTGGTCCTGCAGGCTCGGCTGGGGCGCGCGGTCCGCCCGGCCTGCGGGGGCAGCAGCAGCCCCTCCACCGCCTTCTGCGGCTGCGCCGCCCTCCGCCCACCCGAGCTCGCTACAATGTAGCCGGGGCGGCTGGGCTGCGCTGCAGGTCCGGCGGGTCGTCTGGGGCCGGGCGGACCCTGGCTTATGCCTCCCTATTTTCCCGGACATGTTCAACTTTTTGAAAATTCCCCCTGGACGGGGATTTGAGGACCAAAAAGCCGGACATGTCCAGGGAAATCCGGACGTATGGTAAGCCGATAGTTGAAGGGAGGGATGTGTCTGGATCTTTAATAAAACCATTCTCCTCTTCCATGTACATTAGGAATTGTAATTATATTAGGTGTTACATTTCTTGTTTAGCAAATAGTCTCACTAAAGATCCCTTACCTCTTAGTTGTTCTGATTTTTGTGTGTGTGTGTAAATTTCTCAACATAGATATGACCTCCTCCGATGTCATATTTCACTACTCCTCCAGTCACTGTAGCTTTCAGCATAGACAAACTTTAATTTCTAAAGTGAAAAGAAAGTTGATTTTTTTTAAAAAAAGGCCAGTCCCCCACATGCCTGCATCTAAATGCATTGTAAAGAAGCAAAGGAGAGCATAAGTCAACTTTTTTTACTTTGCAGATTGCCATTAAAATCAATTAATGAAATAGACAAGTATACACTAGCACACTATGGGTATTATGTTACTCTGATAATATGGACAATTGCTTAATTAGCACGCACTGTTTCCACTGCGGTATGCCATTTAAATGATTTTGCTGTGCTGTTTTATACAAGTTCAGCAGTACAGCTTAATAGCACATGCCACTTTGATTGGGTTTTGAATAATCCCCATGCTCTTCTAAACATTTTATATCAGTCTGTCTGATGGGAAATTAGAAGGCAAAGGGATATCTGGTCACCTACAAGCCACATAGGATATTAGCTATTCTTAGTCCAGCAAAACATCTGTTAAACAGGTTCTCTGTTTTCTCTAGCTGATACCTTGTGTGACATTCTATACCTTGGGGAAGAGCCCTGTAAACCCCATGTTCCTCATTTATATATATTTGTGATCCTGCATATAAAGCATGCCGTGTAAGATATCAGGGGAAAGGTTATGATCTGCTGAAACCCACTGTTCCATCTAAATATGTATATTATTAATGCATATGAAGTTATGAGAATGTGCTGTATGGTTGTCACTAAAATATTCTGTGGGTTTGGGAAGTGCCCAGATACTAACTCTCCAGAGATAATGACAAGGGCACAGGTAACCAACTCTGCGTGGGTGCTGAACAGACATTATCACCCATTGTCCAGCAGAGGAGTTACAATTCAATGACTCACTCACGGGAGACACACCAGGGTATTGCTTCACCTTGGGACTCAGCAATGCCCACCAGACATGCCTGGACTTGTGTTCTCCAAGCACATGGACTAAGGGTATAAAACAGAACATGGGGGCCAAGTGCTTGGCCTTTCTCCTTCCCCCACCTACGCTGCAAGCAACTAGGACACTCAGAAGACTGAAGACTCCAACAGGAGACTGACCAAGGTTTCAAGGGTGTACTATGTACTGCAATATTCAGTGGGGTGAGAAAAACTGCTTCATCTAAATGTTGCCCAGTCTAATAGGGTTGAGAGTTTAGATTGCGTGCTTATATTTTATTTTGGTAACTAACTCTTAACTTTTCATTTATAATCACTTAAAATCTATCGTTTGTAGTCAAGAAATTTGTTTAACTATTTATTTTTACCAATGAGTTTGCCTGAAGTGTTTGGTGAGGGTGTTTGCTCAGGTTTACAAACGCTAGTGTATATCCACTTTTCATCAATGAAGTGGTGAACCAATTAATAAGACGAGCAGTGCAAGATGGTATATTCCTGAGGTACGAGGCTCGGAGCCTGGGGGGATTTGGCTGGTGCCTTTCTCTGTGTGATTCATAAGTGGCTCTGGGAGCATTCATGCAATCTAGTTGGGTGTGGAGCTCCACATGCAGTTGTGCTGAGTGATAACAACACCTGGAGGGGCTTGCTGCTTGTCACTGTCAAAGCATTGTGAGAGACAGCCTAGGCGGTCCCACAGTCCCAGGCTGCACCCTGGGGATCCCGTCACACTTTGCAAAATGCTTATTTTCTTTTTCTGAGAAATAATTAGTGTAGTAGTTGTGGAACTGTCTCATGACAGGTCATCAGAATCGATGTGCTGCTACTCTTCCAGGGCTTGCAATGCGGTCCTAAGGAGGAAATAATACATCTAAAATGTATTCATCAAAAAGTCATGTGATTCTTTTTTGGTTTGTTTTAGTGACACCTCTTGATGTTGTCAAAATTCGACTGCAAGCCCAAAGCAATTCATTTGCTAATGGTAAATATACAGGTTTTTAAATAATTAAGTTAATCTGATATCTTTATAAACACTTTCAATCTTAATAATTTCCCCCAAATCTATTTTAAGTGTACTTCTACTCCGAAAAATGATGATGTAAGGTTCTGTGTTTGTCTTAATGCCTTTAGTTCGAATTTGCTTATTTTTTTAAGAAAAAGATTCCCCCTCACCTCCAACTTTCAGCCCTGCAGACTCAACTAGGACCAGAAAGTCCAACTGTGTGTTCTTTCTGACTTGCACCTCATCTCTAGTAGTAATGTTTTTGAGGTCCAAATTCTGCCCTCTGGTACAACTCTGCAACTCCAGTATCGTTATTTGAGTTGTACAGATGTAACTGAAAGCAAAACTAGATCTTGCAGTTTGAACTAGGGTTAACAACCCTCCTGGTTTCGCCAGGAGTCTCCCAGAGTCGGGCTCTATCTCCCGGAGGTTACTGAAGCCAAAACGTTAGATTTTAGGCTGCTAAAAGTCCAGCGGCGCAGCAGGGCTAAGGCAGGCTCCTTGCCTGCCCTGGCCCCACACCACTCCCAGAAGCGGCTGGCACGTCACTGCGGGCCCTGGGGCAGCAGGGGGGTCTCTGCGCACTGCCCCCTCACTGAGCGCCGACTCCGCAGCTCCCATTGGCTGGGAACAGTGGTTAATGGGCGCTGCAGGGCAGTGCCTGGAGGCAGGGGCAGCACGCGGAGCCTCCTGCCCCCATCTCCAGGCGCCGCAGTGATGTGCTGGCTGCTTCCAGGAGCGGCGCCGGGGCAGGGCAGCAGGAAGCCTGCCTTAGCCCTGCTGCACCACTGACCAGGAGCCACCCGAGTCTGCACCACTCACTCACTCCCGCACCCCAACCCCCAGCCCTGATCCCCGTCCTGCACCCAAACTTCCTCCCAGAGCCAGCAGCCCTCACCCCTCCTGCACTCCAATCCCCTGCCCAGCCCTGAGCCCCCTCCCGGAGCCTGCCCCCTCCAGCGCCCAAACCCCCTGCCAGAGCTTGCACCCCCTCCTGACCCCAACCCCCTGCCCCAGCCTGGTGAAAGTGAGTGAGGGTGAGGGAGAGTAAGCGACGGAGGGAGGGCGGATGGAGTGAGTGAGGTGGGGCCTCGGGTTAGGGGTGGGGCAAGGGTGTTTGGGTTTGTGTGATTAGACAGTTGGCAACCCTAGTTTGAATTTACTTGACAATTATGTTGATGCTGAGCCAGAGAAGATTCTAGTTCGCTCTTCTATAGCTGGGTTGACTCTATGATGACAATAAGAGTAAAAAAAGTAGCAAAAACTTATTTTAGTCAATTAAGTAAGTGGGTATAACTCAGTACGCCCAGGAAGATTTCTTAAGTAAGAAGGTGCCATTTTTACATAGCCACTCTTCTGATCGCATCAGTATTTCAACTATGAAGAGCACAAGAACATTGCAAAACTATATACAGTTGATTAAGGAGAAATAGACATCAATATAATTATGTTGAATATTCCTACAAGAGATTTATTATAAATTATAGAGATTATAAAACCATGATTACTGGAATCCTAATTCAACAGTATAGCCCATCTTCAGAGCTTGAGGAGAATTTTGAAAAGGAGCAATAATTCTTATTTGATCACTTGTGTAAACAGAAAGCTAAAATGATATATTGTCATCTTACACTTCTGTCAAAGATATGCCAATTTATTCTTGCTATTTATTTATATATAATTAACAAAGGAGAGAGAGAGAGAAAAGAAATAAGAAGGTGATCAAGATACCTAAGTCCCTGCTCTGCCACAGACTTCCTGTGTCACCTTGGGCAAAGTCATTTAACCTCTCTGTGCCTCAGTTTGCCCATTGGTAAAATGGGGATAATAGTACCTACTCACAGGGTAGATGGTATAAATGAAATCTGATTTAATTATATCCAAATCCTTTCCTGTTTTCTTGCTCCTTCAACAGCCACTAATGTAGCGCCAGCTCCATTAATGCTTAACTCCAGCTTTTGGAGTCTGGGTAAGCAATTTTATTTAATCTGGCAGGGATGTTTTTGGTAGGTGTGTTTGCTGCTCACCTCCCTTTCCCTTTTTAATGCCAGCCTTTATTGGCTTTCCAAGTTTATTCTGCCCCAGTTTGTCAGACCAGCATATTTGTTACCCATATGTTTGATTTAGAAATGCTATTGAATGGTAAAGATATTGCAGGAGTTAACTGTTTCCTTATATGTAACATTTAATTAGGAAAATGTTTTGTATACTCCAATGGCCTTATGGATCATGTATATGTCTGTGAGGATGGGAACAGCAAAGCCTGGTATAAGAAACCTGGCCATTTCAGAGGGATGTTGGTAAGGAAGTTATATTTATAATACTAAGTATACTGGGAATGTGTTAAAAATAAACATTGATATACTACCAATTAAACCTCCTAAGGAGTTCATGTGCTATCCAATGTTGTTTGAGAGGCATTTCATATTGCAAGACAATATCACTAGGAGTGTACGTACTTTGACAGTGCAGATTTTATAGAAGATTTATCAACATGTTTAAATATAGCAAGTATCTCATAAGATTTTGCTTTTCTTTCTGACACACTACCTACTGTAAAACAGTAAGGTTCAGATCCATGCAGATCAGATTGCAGGGTTGGTTTTTGCAGCTTTGTTAATCAGCCTGCAGGACCCAAGCTAAAACCTTAAATGTAGACACAAAACATTACTTGGTAGTTCCCATATTTTTCCTTTTTTTTAAATTGGAACTTCAACTCTAGGAAGAATGAATGAATGCTGAGCTTATTATTTTTGTGTGTCCAGTTTTGTGCTGATTGCCAAGCATAATGGCTCCTGCAGGGCCTCGCCTTATCCAGTCAATGCACATCTGAACAAGATCTGCTGTGTAGCTAATGGTATTCTGCACATATATGCATATGCAGAATAACATTTCTTCACTTTAAATTATGGTAAAAAGTGCTAAAAATCATAGCAAATTAAGTGTCTGAACAAAAACTAGAACCAGGTCATTTGGTTCCACCCACAATTCCTAAGCCACTATTCTGAGTTCCATTTTATTTTACTTACTTTTATCTGTTATAACTATAGAATTATTAATAGTTATCCAAAGTGTTTGAGAAAGGATCTGTCTTTTTATGTCTCACACACGTTCACCTAGAACAATCATAGATTAATTAAAACAAAGGAGAGGTGGAAAGGGAAGCCACAATTCCTTCCTGCCAAGATACTGACCCACTGATCCTACCTCCCCAGTCTGAAACACATGCATAATAATAATTATCTGTACTTACTGTACTTTTCTATCTGCAGATCTTTCAGCATTTACTGAATTGAATATGCATTATTAGCCCAATCTTAAGGTTGTCCTAGTTAAGTACAGGGGTGAAATTGTGGCTCGATTGAAGTCAATGGGACCAGGATTTCACTAGGTGATTTGAAGCAATTTTGTAGAAGAGACACTGGAATCTAGAAATTAAAGCACAGGACTCCACTTCAGCCACCAGATTTCTTTTCTTAACTCTTGTGTATTACTACATAATAGAGGTATTCAAGAATTTTCAAAATTTTAGTGAGCTTTTTGCAATTTTATACATTTTTTTCATGAAAAGTATTGGGGGATTTTTTACCAGCTTTTAGCGTAGTTGAAGTTTTTTTTGAAAATTTCAATGAATTTTCACAAAATAGATTTTTTTTTCACAAATATTTGTCTGCATTTTTCAATCAACTCCACTGCATAATCTTTAGTAAGTCACTTAAATTCTGTTTGTTTGGTAAATGATCTTGTGCACATTTCCCCTATACCAAGGGACATTTTGGTGGGGAATACAAGAGGAGGACTAATTTTACCAGATTCTGGAGTTTTCTTTTATTTTTGGGAAGTAGTTATGGACAATTCTGAGGCTAATAAAGCTATCCTTTATTACCATATGATTGGGTGTCTAATTTTCAAGAAATTGCCATTTAAAATTTTTTAAAATATTTTTGCCATTGAAAGCCTCTTGCATGAACTAATGTCAAATTCTGTTAACATATCATGTAACTAATAAGATGCATGATTTCCCTGCTCAGTCACTGCTTTTTGTTGCATCCCTTCTCCCATCCTCCCTCTATACTGTTTTAGATTGTAAATGTGTCCAGCACACTTTGGGCCTTATGTAAACATTAATTGTCTTGCTGGAATCACATCACAACAAAAAGTTTATTAATTATGGGAACAAACGTTTGGCTAGATCCTCAGCTGGTGTAAATCAGCCAATGGAACTGTGCCAATTTACTTCCCTTGAGGAAGTGGTTCTTTATATGTAATGGTATAACAAACAAAGGACATATATTCAAATACAGTACAGGTAGGTACAGTGACAGAAAATCATCATCCTATAATGACTGGTGACCCATATGAAACTAACTAGTGGTCCACATAGTTTCTATCGGTGGTGTCTATATCACCATAAAATCCCATCCTAATTGGCCAAGCATAATATGCATTCTTGCTGTTAGAAGCCAAGTACTGACTAAGCATGGAGAGTGAATTATCTTCTTATACCTGGAGGTAGTTCTTTCAGGTGACAGTAGAGGTGTGTGGGTGGGATAGTTTGGGTAAGCTTTCACAGTTGCTGCCTGTGCTGTACCTGTTTTGAAAGTAATTTGTTTCTAGTCATATCTGTCATACTTCTTTGATGTCTACTGATGTTACAAATTAAGGTCCTGATCCTGCAAATATTTAGGTACATGCTTAACTTTATACATGTGAATATTCTGATTGATACCAATGGAGGAACTAGTACTTAAAGTTAATTATGTGTCTAAGTATTTACAGGATTGGGGCCTTAGTGTGACAAACTATTTTTTAGTGTACTACTTTCTCTTGCAGTGTATTTTTAATTCCATCTCCTGCCCACCAACATAATTGTTTCATGAATTGGAGAGTTAAATAACTAACCCATGATCTGTATTTGGTTATTATTTTAGGATGCGTTTGTGAACATTATTAAAATAGAGGGTATTAAATCACTGTGGAGTGGACTTCCTCCAACGTTGTAAGTTGCAATTTCATATCTTCCATAACGTGTTTTAAAGGGTAGTTATACTTCATTATTTTGACCAGTGAGTATGCTTATTCCTAAGTGTTTAATTTTAGACAATTTACAAGTTTCCTGAGTTAACTTATCAGTTATATCTAGTGTACTGGAAACCTTCAGAGGCAAGAATATAACTTCAGCCAGTCAATGAGATTTCTCCATGAAGCCTCTTTGATGTATCCTCAGTAGCTGTGCAGGGACATCAAACCTTTGACTATCAGCTAATACCTTTCAAGTGCAGTATCATTGTTCCCTCTCTGTCAGGTGGTTTTTTGAAAGCATCATATCATCCTGGCAAGAATAGGAATTAAGGCCCAGATCCATAAAGGTATTTAAAGTTCCTCACTTCCATTGAAATCAGTGGAAGTTAAGGGCTCAAATATTTTTGTGGATCTGGGCTCAAGAGCTCTATCTACAGAGTACCAATACAGCATTTTTCATGCCAAGAAAGTGGCTCTCAAAGCAAACCTATCATTACTCCTTAAAGTCAACTCCATAACCTATAAATCACAGAACATAGTGCTACAATCATCTTGACCCAAGCAATAGCACTAAGTATACTTTCAATGTCCACCCAGCATTATAAATATAAAAACAAAAGTGAAGCTCTGATGAGATAAAGCTTGTTACTTGTGGTCTAGCACCTGGCTATTTCAAGGCTTTAAAGTCATAAGTTTCTAAGTGGATCAGGTAATATATACCTGAGCCAAGCAAGACAAAAAGTTATTTTTCAGCACTCAGGCTACACTTCCTAGGAATAGAAATGGCCTCTTGGGTGGAGGCATACATTTCGTAGGAAGAAATCTGCACTGTTACCTAATTGTTCTCCATGCATTTCTTCAGTAAATATATCAAAGCTGACTTGTAAGCCTCATCCAATGTTGTTGTGTTGCATGATATAGTAACTCAGGAAAAAGACTCTATGCATATTTATTTCAAGTTCTGTTTTATGTTAGGCTAAGTTGTTTTACCTACTTACACACTGATGATAAAATCCAACAGTAGGATCTGTGATCCTTACTATGCTGAAGAATAGGAAAATTTAAATGCGCTTACCCCAACATTTTCATTCTTCAAGAACTAAGATCCACCAATGTGACCCATGCTGGGTAAGATAAAAGTATCATTATCCAGTAGCTAAGTGAGTAACAAATCTCAATTTAGTAAATAGGGCCCAGATCCACAAAGGAACTTAGTCATTGTGATGCTGAGAGTTGTGGCACCTAAAAGTTAGAAAATCTCAGCAACACCGTGATCCACAAAGTCTGAGTTAGGCACCTTGGCTCCCTATACAATGAATGGCGATACATAAAAATAGCATGGTAGGCAGGGGAGTTGCCTAAGCTAGCCAATGGGAGATGCAAAGGAGAGGGGTGTGTGCTTATCCCCAAACCTGTCATGGAGAGAGGTGCCTAAGTCCAGGCATAAATAAACCTGCCTAAATAGCATGATCTTGTCCCCTCCATACTGTCCAGCAGAGGGGATCTTACGGTATGTCTACACTGTAGTAAAACACCTACAGATGGCCTATGTTAGGTGACTTGGGTTAAGGTCTATAAAATTGCAGTGTAGATAATCTGGCTTGGGAGCCCGAGTGCAACCCCGAAAGTCTACACTGCAGTCTTATAGCCCTGAAGCCCAAGCCATGTGAGCCTGAGCCAACTGACACCAGCCAGCTGTAGGTGTTTTATTGCAATGTAGATAACCTTTAGAGTCCCAGTGCATGATACCTGCCTCAGAATAAGGCTTCTCTAGTCTAAGTAGTATGCATTTAGAATTTTCTTCTGAATTTCAAATGTCCTTGTTGCAGCAGATAGTGCTTAGCTTTAACCTAGCAGTAGTATATTTACTATTTGGGAGGAAAAACTAATTGGGTGTCATGTTTTTAACAAGTTTTACCCTAACATGCATCAGCATAAGATTCGGTTTGGTTAGAAATTGATTATTAGATAAATTGTTGTTTGTCATAATCATTAAAGGCCAGATTGTGCCACCCTTATCCATATTGAGTAGTACCTTGCAGCATGAATAAGGTGGCACAATCTGGCAAACTATCAGACTTGAAAGAAATTGTATGCATTGATAAGACCTCTGAGTAACCTATCAAGACAGATTGTGAAAACAATTGAAATCGAGAGGAACCCAGTGTGCATGTATTTTCACCACACGGTTGGTTAATGGAGATTTGGTAGACATTTGTGAGTTGCAGGAGATGGACATGATGAGTTTTTTCCTTCATCCATAAAACAGTTGAAATGCGTATTCTTTTTTATTTAACCCCCCAAAAAATCTGTACTTGATAACTGATCTAAATTATGTTGGAGACATCCGGTTTTCTTTGTGACAATTGATAGACTTCCTTTGTTTTTGTATTTTAGAATAATGGCAGTTCCAAGTACAGTAATTTATTTTACCAGCTACGATCAACTGAGTGAAGTTTTGATATCTAAACTAGGAAAAGACAGTGACTACATTCCAGTTCTTGCAGGCTCCATAAGCAGATGTGAGTCATAAATTATCTGTATACGATGGTATTGTCTTTACTATTCCTTTTCCAGCTATTTTACATTTTAAGGCAAATTTGCTATCATTCCAGACTTAATAGTCCTTCTCCCCTTGTGTCAGGATGTTTCACCATCATCTATTTAAGTGGACCAGAAGGGAATCAAGGCTCTCCATCTCTTCTGGGTTCCAGTCTAGGTATCCTGTTGTGAGCAGCTAAGATCTGCTACTTCAGGCTACTTGTTACCTTTGTGGATTTCTTTTTCCCACAGTGCCTCCCTGGGTTGACTGTAGCTCTACCTCTTTCTAGACCTTTCCTCCATTCTAGTAACCAGAGAGGGACTACAGAGGTCTTTTCCTGGCCACCCTCTTCTTAGCTGGGCTTTCTCCCTTTATGCACACCACCCAACTCCTTCCCCAGCTGGGCTTCACCTTCATTTGGACTTGGCCCTCCCTCCAAGTGAAACCAGGTTTACTAATTGCTCTCTGTCTCTAGTTAACTATTTCACACCTGGGTAGGGTGCCACCCCATCATATGCTGCTAAAGACAAATTAATTTCATTCTCATTCTTGGTCTAATGAACAATAAATAACATTGATCATACTCTCTTTTTCCTTTGCTAGTAACCTAATTTGGACTTATGCACCTTTTTGCTTCTTTATGATGTATAAAGAGCTAGATTTAAAAAAAAAACTTTTTTTCTGCATTTTTCTACACAAGAAATTCAGGTCTTCTATCTTCTTGTTTTTCTAGGAGTCCTTAGGGACACTGGAGAACTGGTAGGATTGGACTGTGACAGGTAGAATATGGTAGCTGATTCAGAGGGTACTGGATTTTTATTAAAATTGTTTAAAAATCTTTGATTGTCAAACAAAAATCCTGTAAACAATTGGGAGACAACATACTGGACTTGATCATCACAGTAGTTGAAGTCAGTGAGTTAACCTCCCCCTATTTTTACTAGCGGAGTTCCTCAAAGTTCAGTCTTGGGACCGATCTTATTAAATATTTTTATTAATGACTTTGGCACAAAAAATACGGGTGTACTAATGAAATTTGCTGATGATACAAAATTGGGAGGCATTGTCAATACAGAGGAGAATCGAAATATTATACAGGGACATTTGGATGTCTGTGAAGACTGGAGTGACAGAAATGAAATAAAATTCAATAATACAAAGTGCAAGGTCATGCACTTAAGGGCTAATAATAAGAATTTCTGCTACTGCTGGGTGCTCATTAGTTGGAGGTGACAAAACAGGAGGGAGACCCTAGGTGTATGGGTTGATCACAAGATGACTGTAAGCCGCCAGTGCGATGTGGCTATGAAAAAGGCAAATACAATCCTAGGATATGTTAGGCAAGGCATTTCCAGTAGATATAGAGAAGTATTAATGCTATTGTAAAGGGCAAACCAAGGGCACTGATAAGACCTAATTTGGAATACTGTGTACAGTTCTAGTCACCCATGTTCAAGAAAGATGAATTTAAACTGGAACAGGTGCAGAGAAGAGCTACTAGGATAATCAGGAGAATGGAGGGCTTATATTATGAGAGAATACTGGATGAGCTTTCCAGACTACTGTACCCCTTTCAGGAATCTGATTGGTCTCACATATCCCCAAGTTACACTTCACTTAAAATCTGCTTGCTTACAAAATCAGACATAAAAGTTTCACAGCACACAATTACTGAAAAAATGCTTAGTTTCTCATTTTTACCATATAATTACAAAATAAATCAATTTGAATATAAATATTGTACTTACATTTCAGTATAAAGTATATAGAACGGTATAAACAAATCATTGTCTGTATGAAATGTTAGTTGTATTGACTTTGCTAGTGTTTTTTAAGTACCCTGTTGTAAAACTAGGTAAATATCTAGATGAGTTGATGTACTTCCTGGAAGACCTCTGTGTACCTCCAGAGGTATGCATACCCTGGTTGAGAGTCACTGTGATAGAGGGTATGAGTGTTGTCTATAAATTCATTAGGGAGGTAAAGATCAGGAAGAGTGAAGAGCTATTTAAGCTAAAGGACAATGTTTACACAAGAACAAATGGGATAAACTGGCCATGAACAAATTCAGACTGGAAATTAGAAGGTTTGTAACCATGACAGTAGGGTAAGGTTCTGGAACAGCCTCCCAATAAGAGTTGTAGGAACAAACAACTCAATTAGTTTGAAGAGCGAGCTGGTCCAATTTATGACTGTAATTCTATGACAGGGTTGCTGGTCATGGTATGGAGGAGGGGTCAACAGTCCTGGGGCTCACTTCCGGATTATGTCTTATGTTCTTAAAAGCTCATGGTTCAAGGGTTCAGCCAGCCATCTGCAGGGGTCAGGAAGGGATTTCTTTCGTCCACTGATGTAGTATGGGAGGTTTTGTTTGTTTGTTTGTTTTTCTTTTTAAATTTCTTTCCTCTGAAGCATTAGGGATGGCCAGGTCTGGACATTGGATAGGGACAGCCACTGCTGTGAGGTGGTATTGAGCATTCTCTCTCTCAGGTGCATGGCTGGTTAGTTCTTGATCACGTCCTTGGGGTAACTGATCACAATGTGTGGGGTTAGAAAGGAATTTCCCCCATGTCAGATTGGCAGTGACCTGGGAATGTTATTTTTTTTTCCTTTGCAGCATGTCAGTGTGGATCACATGCCACACTGGATTGTTTGGTTGTATCTCATTTAATCATTTCCCTGCCACTGCAGGGGTCTCAGGCATCGGTGCACCTTAGTCCTTACTGTTCTTTGCCTGTGGCACATAAGCTAGTTTCCTATGGGCTGTAATATTTTGGTCTAATTTCAGTGGTTGGGTTTAATGTGCAGATGTTAGGTTGTTGGTGGCCTGTGATGTAGAAGAGGTCAGACTAAATGATCTGGTGGTCCCTTCTGGCCTTAACTCTATGAAATATCCTTATCAGCTTGGATGATAGTGAAGAGGCTTGTTTGTTAACGAGTCCCCACTCTGTGCTCTTTCAGTTAAGGGGTGAGAGAACTCACTTTATACATATCTGAGATCTAAGTCTTCCAACAAATGGAATGCCAGACTTGATATTCCTGATATTTCTAAAGTAAACAAAACAAATAGAAGAAGTACTTAAAATACAAATATTTTTAAAAATAAAAAATTAAAATTAAGCTATCTTTTATACACCACAAAGAAGCAAGAAAGGCAGCCCCATGTTTTCCCCTTTGCAAGTCACCTTTAAGTAAGATTTAAGATTAATGAAAGAATTAACATTTTAAAAATCAAGTTTATTTATAGAAATACATTTAAACCTTGAATTAGGCCTTTGGCTCATGTGTATGATCAAGTTATTCTCACCAGGAAGGAAGGTTGTACAACAGGAATTATTTAGGCCTGGTCCACACGTAAAACTTGTGCCAGCTTATCTGTGTCAATCAGGGGTATGATTCCCCTCTCCCCCAACATATTTTTGTTTGGGGAACTTGTATAAGCTATACTGTCAAAAGAATTATTTTGTTGGTATAAGCTATTCTTTACTACGACTGTGTGCCATTATTAAATATATCAAAATTATATATTATATTACAGCCCACGAAAGCTTATGCTCAAATAAATTTGTTAGTCTCTAAGGTGCCACAAGTACTCCTGTTCTTTTTGCAGATACAGACTAACACGGCTGCTACTCTGAAACCTTAAATATATCAGTAAATCTTTTCTAGCATAGACGAGGTGTTAGGCAACAATTGTGGGAGAGTTAGGGCTTGTCTCTGTGAAGACTTAGGCCATGTCTACACTTCACTCTTTGGTCGACACAAGTTACAATGGCATACAATCACCAAAGTTAGTATATCCCTCATGCACCTGCATACTTGGTTTCTTGCAGTGTGGTGTGTACTCACTGGGGTGGTTGTGTTTATGCAAAGTGCAGTGCACCACGGGTAGTTATCCCACTCTGCCATACACCACCATCTGGCTCAGTGCCTTTTAGAAATTTTTTGCAATGTGTTGTGGGGAAGAAATGCATGGCATAGGTACCTCTGGGAGCTAAATAAACTTGTTTAAAATGAAATCTGAATTGTTAAGGCCTAAATTTATTATAATGTCTTAAAACATTTGCATAAAAATAAATATGCTGAATCCATGAGCCTCTATCAAAAACTTTGTGTTAAAGGCTGCTTTTCTATATAAAGAATCAGGGGAAAAACATATAACTTTGAGGTCTGGCCAGGAGTGAAAGTAACACAGAAGACTTACCCGTATGGGGGCCTGGCTCTGGGCTGCCGGAAGGGGCAGGACCTTGGGCGGAAGGGGCGGGGCCTTGGGCGGAAAGGAGGCAGGGCTGGGGGAGGGGTCAGCCTCCCCCTGCCAGCCCATCCACGCTGCCTGGCCCCTGGGGGCAAAACAGACAGCAACATTAAAGCGCTGCCGCGGCAGCACTTTAATGTCAGCTGCGTATGGGCCGGTACCAGCGGCCACTTCTTACCAGTGTACTGGCCTACTTTCACCCCTCGGTCAGGCTTTATAAATATGGCACAATAGGTCAGCCTAAGTAACTTAGGAGACGGTTTCATTTTCAAAAGACTTATGTGAGCAGAAACTTATGCTCCAGGCACTTTCACTTAGGCGTATTTGAAAAATTTCCGAGGCTGACCTGAAACAATCAGTTTAATTCTCTGCTGACAGTTAATCCTTCTGATTAAGATAAACTAAATATTTCCCCTTGTCATGCAGTTAATATATGAATATATAATACTATGGTAAATGAAACAACAAATTCACACTACAGTGGCTCTTTTGGGTAATGTTGATTGATAATTTGACTCCTGAACCACTAAGATCTGTGTATCACTGTGCTAGCCTATTTACTGCAGTGGTGCTGGCTGAAGTCATCACAGAGTAGTATGGGGAAGCGTTCTATCGCAGAGGAAGAAATAAGGTTCTTCATCGAGTGGTGTCCCTGTGGGTGCTACACTCTAGGTGTCAGTGTGTCCCTGTGCCGGAGATCGGAGATCTCTCGCAGCAATACTCGG